TGCGGAGCCCCTGCTGTCCTGGAGAGGGCCAAACACCGGCCTGCCGATGGGAAGTAGGGAATGAACTCCTTGTTTTACTTTGCTTGCATGGGCGGCTTTTGCTTTACCTATTAAACTCAACCCACAAGTTTTCTCACTTTTACTCTTCTGATTCTCTCCCCCATCCCACCAGGGGGGAGCGAGCGCGTGGCTGTGTGGTCCTTAGTTGCTGGCTGGGGTTAAAACAGCTTAATAGGTAAAGCATAGCCCCATACTAACTACTATGAAGAAAATTAACTCTACCCCAGCCAAATCCAGCACAATGGGATACATTAATTTTTTAATACCAGAAGGTGGGACAAGGAAAACTGAGGGGAGGTTTCTTCACAGAATGTTCAAAACCAGCCACTGATAATGATTTTAATTCAAGACGCTTTTCTATTTGCTACTAAAAGCAAACAGCAGGGAAGTTAGGTGAACTTTAAAACAAGAAAAAAGCAAAAGGATGAGAAACCAGTTGGAGTCACTCCTGCAGCAGGCTGTATCTGAGGGAAAATGGCAGCTGCCTCCAGCAGACTCCTAAGGACAAAACAGCATGATAATGAAATGACCTTGTAATGCCAGTATGGTGAGCTCAGGATCACGCTAAATGGATAGGCAAAGCCACCAGCCACAGGAACTGCACCACACCGTGGGCTCATGGCCAGTTCCACCCGGTGTGGGCGCTAAGGCAGGTGGCAGGGGCCATGCTGTCCTTGGGCTCCCAGGGCAGGCCTCCATCGGGGCCCGTCCCTCACACTCGCTCTCCCTGGGAGCCCTGCAGCTTTAGCAATGTCAGAGGAAAATGCATTGGGCAACAGCAAACCCAGCCTCAAAAGTACACAAGGCTTTGGAACAAACACTGAAGAGAAAAAACAATCAGACCTGAGGCAAACGTAATATAAGTTAAATGCACGCTGGATTTACTAAGACACTTCAATGCTAAACCAGTCAAATCTTCTCTCTCATAAGCTATTTTCTAGGCAAGCAAATAATCTACATCAGAAAGTTCACTAAACATTTTCAAAGACTGCAAAATTTTACTGAGATTAAATCCGTATAAAGATTTGATATTGTCCCACCTAAGAGGCGATTAAACTGGAAAAGATGAAGAATCAGTAAAGAAAACATGACAACAGGCATGTTGACTGAGGGGACAGGAGGCAACGAGCACAGACCTCGACAGAAGAGGCAAAATTGAATGTTTCTCCTTCAAACAGCAAAACACCCAGGCTAGAGGCAAACCGACCTGCTGTGGGAGGGCAAGGACAGCAGAGCGGCACCCACGGCAGCAGCCGCTCAGCTTTCCAGAGCTTCGCCCTGGCTAAACAGGCAGCAGGGCCACAGAGTTTTTTGCTCACATAGGCACTGGTGACTGCCCCAAGTGAGCCCCGAGCAGGACAAGGTTGGTAGTATGGGTCCTTCCATATCAGCCCTACAAACTGCCAGCTTGGTATTTGCATTAATAACCCAGGCACAAAAACCAGGAGTGCTTTATTGAAATATGCTGATAACACTAAGTTGGAAAGCATGGGGAATAAAGAAGATTGAAAAAACTCCCACAGGAAAGAGCTGGATAATCTTCAGGACTGGATATTAGAAATAGGATCAAATTCAATTGTACAAACAGCAAATTTATGCACTTAAGGGCTGAAGGGAATTTCTATTATGCTGTTTTGGAGGGCCTGGTTTGTAAGGACGAGAGGCATGACTGCACTCGTTTCTGGCAAAATGATTTGCCAGATCAATAGGGTGTCTTCCTGAAAGACACAACTGTCATCCCAGAACACATCAAAGAAGATGTATTTCCAGTCAAACTGAGGTAAGATTAATACCACTGTCCAAAGGAGACCTCTTTTCAAATACTGCAGAAAGGTACTGGACAGCTTAGAAAGTTCCATTACCTGCAAGCACAGAGAGGCTCCTGAGATAACCAGGGAATGGAAAGCTCCTGAAGTCTAGCAAAAAATTGAGTTGTGAGGGGATCTGAATGCACCAGAGTTTATACACCAAGATGTAAAGGTAGCTAATTAGGCTATAGAAGATGCCGGCAGAATCTCAAATGTACACAGACTGTCAATGAGTCAATGGAAACTGGATGTTAAAAAAAGACTTTGTATCTAAGTGCAAGTAACAGAGGCAACAAAAAGAGGGATGCTAATATATTTCTGAATGGGAGCATCCATGGGACAACTGTCCATGGAGGTGGGGCCCCCTCAGTCACAGTGATTTCACAGCCAGTTGCTGCTGAAAGCAGGAGGTCTCAGTGCCCCCTCAGCAGCAAGCGTTGAACCTACCTTGTGTCACCACAAGCACTCATCAAAATACTCTTGGTGTCAGTACTGGCACTCATCAAAGTACACTTGGGAGGGTTCAACAAACCCATGGTTTTGCTGCATTAGGCAACTGAAGTCCCTTGTGAAGAGGTATGATAAGCTCCAGAGCTGATGCAAGGGAGGGAAGGTACCTGAGCAGCTGTCAATAGGGAAGGAAGAAAGAGTGAGCGACTCCTTCGTCCACTGCAGAACCAGCATCAGCAGATACCTCCAGATTCACCCTCTAGGACCCCCTTAATTCTGGTCAGGCCCATATATCTACATGGATGCTTTGCACAGCAGCCTGAGAGAAACCCATTGTTGAGGAGCACCTAAGAGAGATACTGTCGTTTGAGTTACTGATTACAGTCCTCTGATTCCTCTTAGAAGGGAATACTTAGAATACTCATCCACCTGGGAGAAGCTCAAGGACTTCTGTAAGGTCTGTATGCCTTTTCCAGATTTAGAAATTCAGACAGATGCTCTCTTAAAATGTATTTAGTTTAGCTTGCTGAAGTTAGATATATAGTTTCTCAGCATTCACTACACCTTCTTTCCAGCAAAAGTCTATGCATCCACGATTTACTAAAGCCACCTCTATAGCTTAGGGCTCTACTTTTAGTTATTTCTGGGGGACTCAGTTAAACTAAGGTCATCCTCCTTATCTGATGGCCACAAAGGGTTTTGTGCCAAGGAAGATGCAAGAGATTACAAAATGTAAGATATTAAAGTCAGTACACAGTACAAAAGACAGAGATCAAACAGAATCACTTAACTCAAGAGTTTACAATTGTATTTGGAGGGATGACAAGGAGAAGCACAGGGTCTTCTCATGTGGGTCTGACAAAATTATTGCTTTTTAAAAGATACTGCTGTTAATGTTTTTATGTTCTGGAAGATCATATGTTATGTTCTCAAAGATCTGGAAATTGTGTCTGGCATGAGAAAACAAAGAGATTGATCATTCTCTGCCTTGTACAATGCAAGAACTAGGAGGTAACAGAAGAAGCCAGTAAGCTCAAAACTAATAAAAAGAGACCTTTTCTGGCACAGACCCTGGTTACAATGTGGAACCTCTTGCCCCAGGAAAGCATGGATGCTGGAGGTCTGTACTGGTTCAAGCTGGGAATGGACAAGTTAATGGACATAACTGAGGGCTGCCAAACACACAGAAATCATACCTGACTCAGAAAGTCTTGGAGTCCTGGAAAGGACTCTGGGGAAGCCTCATATATGCTTGTTCTGCTCTTCTGCTTCTCCCTCAGCATCTGCCTTGGGTCGCTGGGACAGGACAGTTGGCCAAACATCCCTCTGACCTGACCTGGGCTGCTCTGGCTGCACCCTGGCAGGGCCCTGTTTCTCCTGGGGGTTATGTAGGGTCCCCCAGCATCCAGCTCCAGGGTTGCCGGTGGTCAGTCAGCTGCTCTCCTCCCACCCACCACCCCTCTGATGGACACACCCAGGTTGTTAGTTGTGTTTACTTTCAAAGTAGGCCAAGAGAACAATTCCTGAGGAGGTCCATCCATTTTGTCCTCCTGCTCAGTCCCCACTTTCAGCACAAAGGGGCTGGAAACAGCTGGCGAGCTGCTGGCATTCCCCCGCCTCTCAAGGTCTGTCCCAGGTGCCTCGGTTCCCGAAAGGAGCCTGACTGGAAGGGAAACACCATGCACAGCTCCTGGGGACCAAGCCCAGAGCTTACAAACAGATGACAGGTCTGAAATTTAAAGACATTTTAAAAGCCTATGCTAAGTAACATGGCAGGCAGGATATGTCCAGGAATATTTTATCAGTAGAAAAACCCACAAATGATGCCGTGTTATGCTTTATTATTATTATTATTATTATTATGACTCACTGCACAGAAAATATCATAAAAAACACAGCACTCTTGCAGATCCAATAATGCAATCAGTGCTATTACAAACTAAGCTACAACCTAACAATTATACAGTCTTGTAAACTTATGCCAAAAGATATGCTTCTCTCATGAAATCACCTCATAGGTGGAGTAATGTTTTGTCTTCAGTAACAGTGAGGCACATAACTGTGTAATTTTAATAAAAGCCATTACTTTAATGCTTGTGAAACATGCTGAAAATTATTTAAGCACTATAAGACACTGAGCAATCAGCATTAAAATAATATGCACCTCAACATATATTGTACA